TAAAGGAATTTTTGCTATCCTGTTGCCCCAAAAATTATTTTTAAATTAATTTTTTAAAGTGTTGATAACCAGAACTAGTAGTGTCTAGAGTTAAAATTCTACTTTTCACTATTTAAAAGGCCTTTTGGTTCGGCCACTAGCAAGCACTCGGCCAGCACCCGTGCAGCGCCTAGTCAACATCCCAGGAACACAGCAAGCGTGCCTGCCTGCACGCACTTTCGGGCTTAAAAGCCCAGGGATTTTTTTTTTATCAAAATCTTTAAACATTTAGATAATTCATATAATATTACAATACTTAAAAAGGAACGTATTGCAATTATAATAAAAGTCAAATGCAGTATATAAATCATGGTAAATCAAGAGATATTGTGCTATAAATTATAATAATAATTTTATTTTTAATTTTTAATTTTTAATTTTATCTTTTTATGTTTCTCTAGTTATTTTTTCTTTTTTTCTTTTTCATGAAAACTAAATTATTTAATTATCCTTTTTTTTTGGTTAAATTAAGCATGTTAGTCGTATCCGAATTTCTTGGCTCTGGATTAACCATATTAAAATACTTTAGGTTTAACATGACTATTAGATATAAAGCTTTTGGATTTGATATGACCATCAAATCTAATATCTATAAAAAATTAAAAAAATAATTAGAATTTTTATTAAAATTACTTCAAAAATAGTTTAAATATTTTTTATAAAAAAATTTATAAAAAAATTCATTATAATTTTTATTTAAAATACTTCAAGGATAATTTAAATATTATTTTAAATACATCTAAATTTTTTTTGATAGAAAAGGAAGAAATTCTAAAATATATATGATTTTGATAATTTTTAATTTAAAATAAAAATACTTCTTTAAAAAACTTTTTTTCCTAATAAAAAAGAAACACATTAATAAAAAAAAAAAGGAGTTTTGATTAGATACATTTTACATACTCTTTATTTTAAATCAATACAATATTTCTAATTTCTATAGATGATTTTGATAATTTTTAATTTAAAATAAAAATACTTCTTTAAAAAACTTTTTTTCATAATAAAAAAGAAACACATTATTAATAAAAAAAAAGGAGTTTTGATTAGATACATTGTTTACTCTTTATTTTAAATCAATACAATTTTTCTATTTCTATTGTATTTTTCTATGTTTTTTATTGAATAAACTTTATTGCTATTAGAAAAGATATGTTTTCAAATTAAAAAAATTATTATGAACAAAGAATTTTAACTAAAAATATATTTTTCCAAGAATTCAAATAACTATCTTTATTAAAAATATTTATTTTTATTTTTATACAATTAAATAAAAAATAAAAGCAACCATGTTACTAGGTTAAATATTTACACTTGCATTTATTTTTTTGTTTTTTACATCAACAAAAAAAACCCAACTATTTTAGCCTTTAATTAGATTAACCATTCTTTATGTGATTTATTAATTCAAATATTTTTAATTTTTTTTTAATACAAACATCATCATTTCAATTTTTAATTTAAAATTTTTATGCTATCAAAACAATTTTCCAGAGATCTGACTGGTCATCCAGTGGAGTCGATGAAATTAGTTCAACCATGCATTTTATTTGACCACTTGACTTGTGATGCGTATCAATTACAATAAAAAATAAAAATTAATAACTGATTTGGCAACCATTCACATGATTTCTGTACAAATGTTTTTTAAAAACAATAAGGATGTATTAAAAAATAAATTTGAATTTTATTTAATAGAAAAATTAGAATTGATTGTTTCGTTACTATATCTGATCTTGTAACTCCTTGCAAACGATCCTAAACACTAAATACACAAGGAAGATGAAGCTCAGACCAATAAGACAAGTACCGATGGCAAGCCCCAAGAAGATTCTAGAACCGCGTATATGCTCATGATGAACGGCATAATCATCATCCCCATGCCAATCATGGTAAGCAACGTGGCAACCCCATATAATATCCTAGCGGCATCCTCATCTATCACTTTAATCTTCCCTATTTTCAATGCTTGAATCAGGAAAATCAAAACGTGGATAAAAACAGCAAAAATAGAGAGCACCGTTGACATTGCATCTGATTTCTTCGGTATTTAAAGGACGAAAAAGCGTTATGAACCGCATATCACATTTATTTTTCTTTTTGATATTTTGTCGCAATATCTTTTCTTTTGCCCTGCCGGAAAGTTATATCTGTTTTTATCAATATAATAAGAAAATAAAAAATAAATTGTTTGGCTCGTCCATCATTATTAGTGAACTTCGACTCGTCTATGTGTATCCACGTCACTTTTATCAATATAATAAGAAAATAAAAATAAAAATTTTATTTTTTTAATTATTGCAAAATTGTTGTTATTATTATTATTATTATATGAAAATATACTTACTATGATATTAAATATTAATAACTATCTAATTAGAAAAATTAATTATTCATACTAAATACAAATTTACTATCATTACATATATATATATATATATTGTTTTAAACAAATTCTAAATTTGCATTATTGTGAAAAAATCAGATTTTTGTGAACATTTGTTTGTAATATATACTGGATTAATCAATATTTTATTGATTAATTTATTAATTAAATTCATTAATATGAAATACTGTCAATCTAAGATTATATAAATGCAAATATTAATTAATTTATAATTTTATATATTTTTTTATTTTTTTATTTTCTTATCATAAAAAACACTCGAGATGAAAAGTTTACAAAACTTTTTATTGTTAATTCCCTCTTTTAAAACATAACTTGCTAGTAAGGCAAAGGATGGCTATGCTAGCACTTTTTTTTTAATGTTTTTTTTAATATTTAGACACCCATTTACATCAAAGTATTTTGCTACATTAATAGTTATTAAACTTAAAAAGTGAATAAAAAAACATACATTTATAAAATTTTATCTGATAACAAATATGGATAGATTCTTTTAGTTTGAAATCTTTTTTCACAAATTTTAGCTAAATCTTAAAATCTTTGTCTCATTATTGAAAATTATTATTATTATTATAACTGAATTTTTTAATTTTAAAAAATAAATGGATAAAAAAATAATTTAAGAATTGGGTTAAGATAACACAAATCGAAAATTTAAGGATTAATAATGATGAAATTATAAATTTGAAAGTCAATGTTGTAAAAAATTAGAAGAATTAATAAGTTTGGAGACTTAATTAAACTTTGATTTAATTAATTAATGCAACCAAAAGCTTAATTGAATAAATATCAAAATTTGGGGTTGATTGGGGTCATAATTGCAAGCAATTAAAGTTCAAGAATCAAAATGAATAAACAATGATATGATAAAGGGGTTAATTGATTTTTTCAGGGGTAGTTTTGATTGAATTAAAAGTTAAAGAGTCAATTGAGGAGTGAATTGATTAAATTGGAAATCAAGTACTATTTTGTAAATGGCTTCGAAATTTAAGGGTTCAATTGTAATTTGATCAAGGTGTAACATTAAGGAAAAAAAAAATTTCTTGATTAGAGACCCAATTATTAAATGTCAGAAGTTCAAGGGTGAAATTGAAAATAATCATTCTCTGTAAAACGGTATCGTTTTCAACACTGCTAATCATCTTTTTATCCTCGTGAAGACCGGATCAACAGGAAGCACAACTAATCAAGGACCACGCTGCCAACATCCCCACCCGCACGATGAATCTCCAAGTGAACGTGGGTCGCAGAAGTTTTTGTTCCCATCGTGCAGGTTGCCCATGATCGTGATTCCTGGGGACAAGTTGAGTGGATTCTCTGGCCTTGTAAAGGCCAGAGAAAGGAACAGAAAAAGGAGGGGCACAGGACAGAGAGAACCAGGGAGAATATAGACACTGGAACAACACAGAGGAAGCACATAAAGATCATCGCAACGTGGGTAAGACAATTATTATTATTATTGAAAATGATGATGATGCTAGGATATTAATTACTAATAACTATTCACTTAGGTAAATTGATTATTCCATACTAAATAATAATTTTATCTTTTTTTTTTCCTCGACCAATATGTGACCTATATGTATTATTAAATTGTTTCAAAACAATCCCAAATTGATTTGAACTTTGCAATCAATTTCTTGTTTACCCACCTGTGTTGTTTCTTCTTCCTCTATCCAATTTGCGTCACCATTATTGAGTTCAACTGGCGGTTGCAGTAAATGGTCGTAGGCACACACAGTTTTTAAACGACAAAAAAGGTTCTGAACTACAGTAAAGTACTGCGGTCTCTACAGACCCATTTTTTATACAAATGTGATAAATAAAAATAAAATTTTTAATTAGAATATCCATGTTTAATATGCAGTACGATTGTGATCAATTACATTACGGGATTTCTGAACATATGACATCACAATTGTTTTATTTGATAGGAAATTTAGAATTGATTGTTTCACCCGTATATCTAATCTCATAAATCCTTGTAAATGATCCTAAACACTAAATACACGAGGAAAAAAAAGCTCAAACCAATAAGACAAATGATTTAGCTAATTATCTCACTGTATATACTTGTGATGAATTTAATAATTATTGTCTCCATGCTGATCATGGTAAACAACGTGGCAAACCCAAATAATATGTCAGTGGTATCCTCACTTATATCTTTATTCATAAAAAAGACCATAACTGCATATAAAATAAAAATTACTTAAGACTTCACTTATTTTTCTTAAACAATATTGATATATGAAAGTATAGGAGATTTGAGATTTTAAAATATCATATAAGATATTCATTTCTTAAAATTTATTGAACTGCTCTTTCTCAACAGTCTTCCCACTGTTGAATTTGCAATTAATATTCTTATTGGAAATTTAAACACACATAAAAAAATAAAAAACATATTTCTTAAATATTTTAAAAGATTTTATTTATAGTTTTATACAAACCGTCATCTACCTTGACAAGTTTTTATTTAATATGACGGTGCGCCGCGTAAACAAATTTCTGTTTGTTTACGCGGCGCATCGTCTTCAAAGTTAAAAGCATGTAAAGGGTTTTCTTCATTGTCAATTGTCTGTGCCCTTGTTTATTGAGCGAACTGGCGTACTGGGTTTTCTTCATCTTTCCATGATACCATGGATCTTGCATTTTTTAATAATTCCTTCTCTCTGTTTTTTTTTATCCTATTGATTGTCTTCACTGGAGTAATCAAAGACTCATGCTTTATTCGAAGCATCCTTTTCCTTTTTGTTTTTCTCATTCGTTTCTTCCAGAACAATGCGCCGGCGGCAGCCAAACGGTCCACTGCCAACATCTTCAAGGGATTCTAGGATCTCCTGCAAAATATTTTGGGTGAAATATCGTAGATAATCCATCATTTTTAGCTAATTATCAAATATCATATATTAACTTCATAACATTATTTATTTTCACAGCTAGTTTGTTTGCAATGAAATTCTTTTTCTTACTGTATATATGATAGATAATTAACGCGCGCGCATCTGTATGTATGTATGTATGTATGTATGTATGTATGTATGTATGTGTGTGTGTGTGTGTATGTGTGTATGTGTGTATGTGTGTATGGGTGTATGTATGTATGTATGTATGTATGTATTGAGTTTTAATGGATGCGTTAATTATCACAAGAGTTAATTCACAGTGGATTGATAACCTGTATCTCAGCTAAACGTCCGTTATATATGTCCTTGATGCTCAGCTTTTGCTTATTAAGGCCATATATTCCTTCTTCTGTAAACCGAAAAACAAGTAACCAGTTGTCAAGCTTGAGTGCCAAAGCAGCAATTAGATGGAAGGGCGTGTTTCCTTTGTTATCCTTCTTCGTTTTAAGTCTGTCAAGTAATGGAATCCTCAGACATTCCTTAAATACTTCGGTTCTCTTACTGGCCACAACATAGTGAAGGGCATTCCAACCTCTGTTATCAACTAGCTCACAACATGCTGGACATCGAGAAACAATCTCTTTCATTGCGTTTACATGTCCTTGAATGGCTGCAATGTGAAGAGCTGTTCTCTTCTTCTCTGTTTCAGCAATGTAGGCCGCGGACGCATCATATTCTAGTAATACTTTCACAACTGAAATATTTAACCAAGTAGAGAAAAAGGCAGCGTAGTGGGTGACCAGCCGTTGTCATCGGTTGTTTTCGTCAACTTTTTTTCTTTCTTTAACAATTTTCTTGCTGTCTCTGAAACCAACAAAACAATGAATAAATGTTTTCCTTCATGAACACAGATTTCACATAGTCTGTGTGAATTACTATATACCCAGTACTTAAACTCACAAAGAATTTTAGTGGTATAATTTTATTTTATTTTAAAAAAAGCTAATTATGAAGCAAACACGGATATATAAAATCAAATATACGTGGCTTTTAAATTATAGTTACTCTATTATATATATATTATTTAATTCTCCAGACTTGAGCACAAAATCCTACCATGGTCTCCCACCGCGCTTGCCGCATGCAGAGCAGTTCTACCATTAGGGCCGCCATAGTCCAGTACTGAAATGCAATTAGCAAGGATTTCATCGATCACCTTTTCTTGTTCTTGACCCCAACTGGAAGCAGCAATATAAAGTGGAGTTTCTCCATGAACATTGGCGGAATATGAAAGCTCAGGCCGGTCCTCTTTAGTCAATATTTCCACCACATGGCTCCGCCTATTTCGAGCTGCCTCGTGCAACGCTGTATCTTGCTCTTCATTGGTCATCCTCAACATCTTTTTTGCTTCTGTTACTCCGCTCTCTGGATCAGTAGGTCGAGCTTTTGCGCGGTCAATGAGGACCTTTACCACGTTGGAATGACCATATCTTGCTGCCAAATGGAGTGGGATTTCACCTTTCTTATTGGCCTGCAATAATAGTTGTGGACACATTTCAAGAATTTTATCAACAAAATCAGTGGATTCCGGTTCCCTACTTTGGTTTCCTAAGTAGACATGAAGAATGGTGTTCTCGTCTGGAGTCAATAACTGATCAAGGCAGGTTTGATAATTCTCAAAGGGACCGATATCGCCTTCAGCTGCAGCTTTGAACAAGACAGCATCCATATAGGTCGTCATACTATATATATTTTGTAGCCTAGAGAAACTCAATGAAAAGTAAACAAATGAAGGGGAGGTGAAATTAACCACTGTGGCTCAAAGGCAAGAGGTTCCACTCCTCAACTGATCACAAGCTGCTGGTTTATTTGGTCTGTTGCTTCTCTGGAGATGGACAGCATATTTATTGAGGTTGGATTTTTAAATGTTATTTATTTGGAAATATATTACAAAAATAATTATTTATTTTTGAAAATTATTTTTATATAATTGCATTAAAATTATTTTAAAAAAAAACAAATTAATTTATAAAAAAAAAAATTCAAAAACATTTTTACGTTGTGAGCAAGAAGATACAAATTCAAAGACAAGGTGACACAAGAAACAGAATCAAATGTGCCCCAACGCCAAGAGAAAGGAAGTATCAACCACCCCTTCTTGCTAGTCTACACTGTCAACACCTTAATTATACAAAGGTCGTCTATTTTCTTCTAGTTGGTATTTTGTTTTTTCAACTGTAACAATGTACTTTAATTTTGAAGTGTTTCGACTTTCGAGGTTGTACTATTACAAGTTACTGCATTAATTAGCTACTAAACAAAATTGGATGAGACCTTGTGAATGATTGATATATATGGTTTTTTTTAATATATTAAAATAATATTTATTAAAAAAAGTTTCCACGAAGGTTGTCAGCCACATTTAAATTTTAGACTTGGATCCAAGGCAAGAACTAAAGGAACTGTTTTATGAATATACAGCAAGTATCGATTTTTGGTGCAGATTTTTCTGCCACTTTGAATTTAAGAATATACTCGGCTGAATTGCCTCTGAATTTATATTGTAATAGATCATCCAACTTTGAAAGAAAAAAGGCTAAATAAATATATAAAATCAAATAAGATATGGCACTGAAAACCTCAATTTTTTCACTCATTGTAGATCATCATGCAATTATTCTAGCCCTTTCTTTCCTCAGCAGACCACATATGGATCAAATTTTATAGCATTGTGTGTTTCAATTCTTTGAGCTTGGAACCACCTCAACCTGCTATAAAAGGAACGCTGCCTTCTCTTAAAATGCCACTGTGTGCTTAAAATGTCTTTTGCCTTGCTACGGAGTTACATGTGATTCATATGCATAATCTGTTATTGTAGGTGGAAAACTTAACAAAATCAATAAAATGACTTCATTCCAAACAAAAATAGATTGTTAAGTTATTCAAATGACTTCTTCCCTGTTTCAGCAACGTAGGCCGCGAACGCATCATATTCTAGTAATACTTGCACTACTCGAGGACAACAGATGTTATGGGCAGCGTAGTGAAGTGGCGAATATTCCATTTCAATGTAAAATGTAAATAATTATATCTCAGGGGAGGCAAGAAATTTTTGTTGTTTCATGGTGAAAAATAAAATAGGAATTGCTATCTAATATTTTGATTATTAAAAATTTTAATTGAGTGTAGAGATTAAATATGAGAACTAATTCCATAAAAAAAAAACTATTAGCACCCCAAATACACCTTATTTAAGATAAGTTGCATTGTTTAATTGTCTGATAAAAAACTAAGATGTTATTAGTTTATTTATGGTTTAGAAAAAGTCTTTCTCAGTAAGAAGATCTTTATCTTATTGGGTAAAAAAATCTAACTATTTTAACATCTATATGAAAACTATATTTTTAATATTAAGAATACATTTTACGTATAAATTCATAATTCTAGATACTAAAAGAAGGAAAAGATTTTTTTAGAATTTTTGAAATATTGGCCTAGTTCTCATGGCTCTAATAAATTTGTTGTTAAAACCAAAGTGCATGCTAATACATATATATTTTTTAAAATTTCCTTTGTTGTATAAAAATATGATGTGATGATTTTTTTTCTTTTATTTTGGAGAGACTAGGCCGTATGCATGAAAATAAAATATTATTTTATTTTATTTTTTGACGTCTTGACAAAAACCGGGTATTTTAATATTGGATTTGTATCTTTATAGTATAAAAATACAAATCAATATTAAAAAAATTTGATAAAAATATGCAAGAAATCAACAAATTTTTTTTAAGAATTTTTCTTTAATTTTTTTATATATCTATATATATAAATAATACAAAAACAGCATAATATATAATATATAATATTAGGTGGGCTGGACGGGCCGGCCCAAATAACTAGGCCGGACTCAGCCCCAAAAAGGTTAGCCAATCTTGGCCCAACAGTTCTCTTTCTTTTTAGTCTGGGCCAGACCCGACCCAGAAAGCAGAGCTGGGCCAGAATCAGTCTGGCCCACAAAACATTAGGGCTGGGCCAGAACCAGCCTGGCCCAGCATAAATAAACCAACGGGGGGGAATTATTTCCCCCCTCCCATCCTCTTGCATACAAGAGGAAACACAAGCAACAAAAAAAATGAGGGGGGAAGAAGAGTATACATGGCGCGGAGGAGGCGGTGGCGGTGTTGTGGATCATAAATGATGACTGACTGCTTTGCTGGCTGTGCTGCGGTAGAGGCCGGTGGCGGTGTTGTGGCTCACAAACGGCGACTCCCAAGCAGTGCTACTGTTTCAAGCAGCGGAGAGGTTACTGCTCTTCCTTTCTCCTCCGTTTCCTTTCCTCTTCTTTCGTTTTTCAGTGGTTTCCCTTTATCCTCCCAGTTTGTTTTTAAATTTCCTACCCTGTTTCAAGTTTTTCCTTCCCCTCCCTATATTTTGGTTCCTTTTTTTCTCTCTTCGGTTCGTTCTCTCCTCTCTTTTATTCATTCTCTTTTCTTTTTGGTTCGTTCTACTTTCTTTTTCTGTTCGTTTCGTTCTCTTATCTCCGTTCCCTCTTTCTCTTTTCGGTTCCTCCTCCTTTCCTTTTTTGTTCGTTTCGTTCTCGTCTCACTGTTCCCTCTTTCTCTTTTCGGTTCCTCCTCTACCCCTTGTGCTGGTGTTGGGTGCTATTTATAGAGCCAAGGGAGCGGGGCTCTTTATTGTTGCGCATGGGAAGCAGGGCAATGTCGGTTGGGTGGCCAATGGGCGCGGCTCCTCTGGTTTCTCATTATCAAAAGGCATGGGGCTACGGGTTTTGGCAGAGCATACAGGAAGAGAGAGGCAGCAAAATTAAAGAAGAAAAAGACAAAAATTTTCATCCTTTTCCTGCTGCATGTCCAGAGAAAAAAGAGGAACAGTGTAGTTTAAAATGGTATCGTTCTGTTCTTTTTTTTTTTTTTAACATGAAAGGGTGTTTGGACAAAACGCGTCGTTTTATTTAAATAAAAAAGATGTAGAAATGTGTCAATTTTCAAATAAACTCTCAATTTATCTTTTGTTCTATTAAATTCTTAAGTGTAATTTTGATTTTAAAAATTAATTCAATTGCATCCATGCCGACTTCAATCGGCAGCCCCATACTTGGCTACCCTTTTCACTTTGGTTCCTGTTCTCTGATTTATGCAATTGATCAATAATTGATTAAAAAACTTTCAATTTCTTTAATTAGCCCTCGATTTGGTTAATTATAGCCTCTCTATTTACGCGTCTTTTTCATTTTGGTTCTTGATTTTGAATTTTCTCAATTAAGTCTTTAATTGGCCATTAAACTTCAATATTTATGCAATTCAGCCCCTAATTCGATCAAATCAACTCTTAAAAATTATAATTTGACCCCGGAACTTTAATTTCTTCCAATTAAAGCCCAAATTGACATAAAAATCTATTTTTCTTGCAATCAAACCCTTTATAAATTCAATTAAATCTTCAATAAAATCCAATTAAGTCCATAAGCATCCAATTTTGGACTTTTCTCCTTTAATTTAAATTGTTTTTTTCCAACAAGGCTCTTATCATTCAAGAATATACTGTCAAAATTTTAATCTTTGTATTTTTATTCTCCTTAATCAAATTTTTTGACCATTTTTTGACCACTCCAACCTCCTATTATTTTTCTAATTTGTTCTGGCTATATACTTATATATTTTTTTATTTTTATTTTTGTGTGGAGACCCAAAAATGGGTTACAACACTTTTAGTATTAGTTTCTTTTATTGGATTATCTTACTCTCAAGACATGGATCGTAGATTTGGTGGATTAACCTAGTTGGCTGAGTTTTTATTCCGTATTTTTTTTTAATTTTATCATTCAATATTAGTTTAATTAAGAATTAGGCTTCATGATGTGTTTTATTTGCTCTCTAATAGATTAATTCGGTCTTATGACTTGATAATAGTGTTCAATGGATTAATGTTGAGTTAGCTCAAGTTATTTTTGGTGTTTTTTTATTTAATTAAATTTCTTTCCAAATTTATCATTGAATATCCAATGAAACCGATTCACTTTCTAAAGTTTGAAATAAATCTAATAAATCCTTAAAACATTTAAATCCAATCCCTCAAATCAAGACTTGAAAAACTCGGGCTAGAATCCTTTTTGCAACAGTATTCTCTACTTTTCCACTACATGTTCAAATGAGAATATCTTGAGCTTATGATATTAAAATCAAAGGATTTAAAAACCTAAGTTCATCAGCACGTACAAGACTAAAACTTCCCTGAAGGATTTAAAGTGATATAAAATCGTTTTAAAGAATAGAATTGCAATAAAACTCTGCTAGAAACCAGCTCGCGACAGGATTTTCTACTTTCACATTAAATATTCAAACGAGAATATCTTTAGTTTTTGATATCTAAATCAATCAATTCAAAAGCTCAAATTCATCTACGGGTCTAGGAATACAACTTTGATGAAGAATTCGAAGTGAGATAAAATCTTTTTAGATAATAGAATCTGACAGCAATCTGGTTGGTAAAAAAAGATCTCATGATCTAATTTAGAAACTGACAATGTTGAGCATCCCGATATGATTGAAAGTATAACCTAAGAACAACGACCAATAAAATTATGACAAAAGCAGAGTTTATAGTGCAAAACTCGGGCCATAATCCTTCTCGCGGTAAAATTCTCTACTTTCATGTTAGATATTCAAATGAAAATATCATGAGTTTTTGATATCAAAATCAAGTGGTTCA